GTGTAGTAGTACCTCTTCGGGCTCTTGTACACCTTTTTCTTGCTACGTGTGCGTGTTCTTTAGATCCTCAGATGGCTCCAGCACTTTCGTGACCACGGGCCGAGAGTCTTTGCTAGATTTTGGCATTTAGCAACTGGCATACGGTTTAATGTGAAGTCAACAACAACAACAACCCCGGTGCCATTTCTCCGACAGGTGCCATCTCTCCAACCCCGGTGCGGAAATGCAATTTCATCATTTCCTTTGGAATTTTCAAGGCACCCCGGTGGGATCCCCGATTTATGGACACAGGTGTTGTTTGCACGCACGCCGGTGCCATCTCCCCGACGGTTGCCATAGTATTGACTGCTACCAGCGTAGGTACCCACGCACGCACACGGTCTTCTTCTGCACACACACGCATGTCTGAGCCGAAATAAGCAGCGACATAGCGCATCTGAGGTGGTACCAGTTGGTTCCCGCTTTCGTTCGGTCTTCTTTCTACGGATACCAGTACGTACGCCGAAGTACATAAGCTTCAGGTTGTGTAAGGTAGGGTAGGGTGCGGCTTGTACGTTGTGTGTTTGGTTGAGTGTACGGTTGGCAATTTCCATAAGAACAATGTCAAGGCAACTGGCACCCCGCGTGAACCGCGACCATTCAGTCGTACGTAAAGGAGTGGCGCTCCGCTGACTCCGTCTCCATGTGTAAAAGGTACGCACGTGTACCTCATTCCGGCAGCTGAAAAGGAGTTCAATCTTGGATTTGGGGGTCGGAGAGGTCGCGCTCCGTGTGATTTCACCGACCCCGGTGCGTGATTCGAATTTACAAGTAGTATTTTTTTCATGGGCTTTTTATCGCGCTCCTGTGCCATCTCTCCGACCGGTGCCATCTCTCCGGCCCGTGCAAACTCTCCGACTCTTCTTACGGTATTTGCATGCATACGGACCGGGGACAGACTCTGTTTTTTCATCAGTAGACTAGACTATGACCCAACGAATCTTTTGTGAGATTCTTCTACACAGACTGCTGTGTGACTTCGCATGGCGCCTCCTTGGTGTGGGGTGGGGTCGGACGCACTTGTCTGCTGTCTTCGGGTGCTCAACTCAAGGCCGACAAAGTTCTTGCACGGAAAGGCCGTTGACACGTGATTGACCGTTCACAAGGAAATACGGTTTAGACCAGTTTAGACTCTGCATGATGAGGAAAAAGAAAAGGGTTCAATCTTACGAGACATGGTCTACACACTCGTTGTTTTGACGGTTAGATACCGGAGTACTGCTGTGCTTGCGTGCCTGACAGACTCGTTTCCATCAGGCAGTGCACGCGTCGCAAGTGATCATGCGACCCTCAACAGTACGCCCCAAACACACAGACAGATAGGACACCGTTGGCACAAATTTATCTTGTTGTGCACATGCGTACGTTGATTACCTCCTCTCTCGCAAATCTACACGCACAACAAACATCAACCGTGTAAGCTAGGTGTATGTACCGCAGCACGATCCACACGTTAGACGCGAGGTCGACGAGCGTACCATACGCCACAGCAAAAAAAAGACAGGAGGAGGTGCCGTCGATGCGCGGGGGGTTGGTCCCCTGCCTACTGTATGTAGATGAGACTAAAAATCAACGCGGATCGAGCGAACGAAGCACAAACATAATCATCATCTCACGTGCGACGCTGAGGACGGCGAAGACGATAGCAGCCGGGTGGGAGAAGATCTTCATGGTGTGTGCCTAGCGGCAGAGATCTTGTGCAGTGTTGTTGTCGAGCTTGGAGCTGAGAGCGCGAGGATCTTGGATGGGGCGAGAGGGATAGCGAGACTGATGTGGTTGGGCGCTGCTGTCTTTCTATGCCGGGGCTGCTGTGTGTGGTCGTCCACCTGTGGGCGCAGAAAGCAATCAATATCTTGTCTTCTTGCAAAACGGAATAGTTAACTGATTGATCTTGCATATGAACACATTAGACTATATGTAACAATATGAAGTAGTTTGTTCTTCGTTTACTGCCTGGTGTGTGCACATGTGCGCATGCGAAAAACGGAATAATAATAATGTCTAATCTCCCTGGTCTACCTGCCGCTTGTTTGAGTGTACGTTCAGGGTTTAACCTGTGACCACGGGAACCGACCGCGTCGAGTGTTGGATCAGTACGGACATTCGAAGGTACTGGGTAGAGAGAGATCGGAACGGTGTTTAACAACAACAACAACAACATCCTGCGAGCTACTACCTGCTCGCATACACGTAATTACCGGATGCATGTGTAGGTGTATTCTGCCGTCAAAGTACCAGGTATGTACAAGTACGGAGGACAATTAAAAGCAGCTTTCCGTTGCAGCATTCTATGTGTTGTCCGTTGGACTATTCAATCAATCAATCAATGTACATATTATTACCCCGGGTCCCGGTGGGTTGTTAGACGTCGCGACGTCGATGATAAAAAACATCATACAGACAAGTGTATGGACTTCTCCCTTCTTCCCCTCGCTCCTCGACAAGCTTTTGCTTAGACATGGGTTGTAGTGAAGGGGGGGGTCTTTCTGGCGAGCAGGGCTAGATTCACCCTCAAGGGATGACCGAAACCTTCTTGCTGCTGCGCATATCCGCCGCGAGGCATGCGCGTGGTGGTGTAGTTGGGTCGGCACTGATGGGGTCAGGCGAAAAAATGTAGATGCGCGGGCCTCTGGCCGTCGGCGTAGGCAGCGATGCCCATCTCATTTTTTGTGCGCGGAGGCAGACACCGTCAGAAGGTGGACGGGAACTATGTACACGGCCCTAGGTTGGCTAGAGGGCGCTGCATTGCCTCAGTAACCTGGCTTCGCCATCAAAGGAGGAGGGAGCAGGTGGCGACGAGCTGAACTGGGCTGGTTGACCCCTTCGGCGCGAGAATTTTTATTTTTCAGACCAAGAACCTTGAGTGCAACGAGGGAGAAAGCGAGGAACCGACTGGGAAGGACAGCAACGGGAGCGTGTACGGACGGAGCAGGTCGAGTGGCGTTATGCTCGGGCTGACTACAGCGGCGCCGGACGGAGCAGCGGCACCGGAGCATGCGGGCGACATCGACCCGTGGCGCACGGACAAACATTTCTATCTGTGTTGTCAATTTTTTTCGTTTTTTTTCTGACTTTCCGTGTTGGTTTTGTGTGATGACATCGTCACCGGTTTTGTAGAGAGACCCGTCAGAGATGGCGTGGCTAACCCGGGTGCCTTGGTTATGTGCCTGATCGTGGAAGACCCCTTCAAGTGGAACGATTCTTAGCTATTGTCGATATTTTCACTGCGTGCCTAACACAGACGATCGGGAGAGGTTCGGGTGATTGTCCATTGCAATCATGGCTTTGGTTGGTTGTTCTTTTTCACTGTACGTCCGCAGACACATTCTGACAGCACTTCAGACAGCAGCTTTGTGCCCCGCCAGCTTCTTGTTCCATGCCTACCATGGTGTTTTTGTACAGACAGCACTTCAGACAGCAAGTATGCTGTAGTCGGCAATCATTCGTTTTGGTACAGAGTGGGACAGGTAGGGGGTGATGTTACTGTAGTCGAACGGTGAGACGGACGTGTAGTTCAGTTTTGGGCACGCGTACGGTGCTGCAGGGATTATATATAGGTGTAGTAGTACCTCTTCGGGCTCTTGTACACCTTTTTCTTGCTACGTGTGCGTGTTCTTTAGATCCTCAGATGGCTCCAGCACTTTCGTGACCACGGGCCGAGAGTCTTTGCTAGATTTTGGCATTTAGCAACTGGCATACGGTTTAATGTGAAGTCAACAACAACAACAACAACAACATGGTTTACTCTCCCTTTTTCCCCTCGACAAGCTTTTGCTTAGACATGGGTTGTAGTGAAGGGGGGGGTCTTTCTGGCGAGCAGGGCTAGACTCACCCTCAAGGGATGACCGAAACCTTCTTGCTGCTGCGCATATCCGCCGCGAGGCATGCGCGTGGTGGTGTAGTTGGGTCGGCACTGATGGGGTCAGGCGAAAAAATGTAGATGCGCGGGCCTCTGGCCGTCGGCGTAGGCAGCGATGCCCATCTCATTTTTTGTGCGCGGAGGCAGACACCGTCAGAAGGTGGACGGGAACTATGTACACGGCCCTAGGTTGGCTAGAGGGCGCTGCATTGCCTCAGTAACCTGGCTTCGCCATCAAAGGAGGAGGGAGCAGGTGGCGACGAGCTGAACTGGGCTGGTTGACCCCTTCGGCGCGAGAATTTTTATTTTTCAGACCAAGAACCTTGAGTGCAACGAGGGAGAAAGCGAGGAACCGACTGGGAAGGACAGCAACGGGAGCGTGTACGGACGGAGCAGGTCGAGTGGCGTTATGCTCGGGCTGACTACAGCGGCGCCGGACGGAGCAGCGGCACCGGAGCATGCGGGCGACATCGACCCGTGGCGCACGGACAAACATTTACATATGATCTGTGTAGTCAATTTCTCTCGTTTTTTTCCTGATTTTCGGTGTTGGTTCTATGCTATGGTCTATGACGTATATATGTCTACTCAGTAGACATATATACGTCATAGACCATAGGGTCGAATGGTTGCCATTGCCCGGTACAAAATAACGTCGGTGAAATCGCGGGACATGGAATACTGAATCTTCAACGTGTCACATTCCCTCCAAAGTGATGCTTGTTGTTGTTGTTGTTGACTTCACATGAAACCGTATGCCAGTTGCTAAATGCCAAAATCTAGCAAAGACTCTC